CTCCTGAGCCGGAAAAAGGGGGCATCTCCCCTTCGATTAGAAAACAGAAATTCAACAAGTTTTTTTGCTACGGCCGAAAGCCGCCGGCCAAGGTAAATTTGGCAGCTTCCAAAGGGCACCGAGGGCTGCCAAGGAAAGGATGAGGAATCCGGTGGACGGCAGGATAAGGAAGAACTGAATCAGCTCCCTGGGCGCCAACAAGCCCGAATGGAAACTCCACGTTCTGGGGGAGGAAGGAACCCCCCGATTAGATAAGCCAGGATAGCCGCTGGCTTGCACAAGCTCTCCATTGTGCGAGAGGGAAGAGAGAGAGAGGACACACGCACACACACACACATACCGGGGCTCTATCTATAGAGGCCGCTTCCTGCTGATTTGCAACCCGGATTTGGGAAGACAGCCTGATGCCTCTTCCCAAGGCGGGTTTTTTGGCAAGGCTGCTGGGGTGGGAAGGGCCGGAGAAAGGTGGAGTAAGGTAGGGGGGCTTCCAGGGTCATCCGAGCCTTTTTTTGGGGAAGCAAAGCCAAGGAGCGTCCCGTCAGCGAGGCCGCAGGCTGGGCCAGCTGGTGTCTTGCTTCCCTAATGCAGGTTTTAAACGCTGCTTTAGCCTGGATTTTGTTGGAAAAATCCAAAGAGGGATGGATGGTTTCTCGCTCTCTCCGGGGCAAAGAAATTGTCTGTAATCATAAAAACAAACAAACCCTGCTTTTTCGTGGTTAGGGCTTTAGGCAGGACAAGAAGCGACGGGTGGAAACTCACCAAGGAGAGAAGCAACTTAGAACTAAGGAGGGATTTCCTGACAGTGAGAACAATGAATCAGAGGAACAGAAATTGCCTCCAGAAGTTGTGGGTAATCCAACATTGGAAGTTTTTAAGAAGACAACCATTTGTCTGAAATGGTGGTGGTAGGGTTTCCTGCCTAAGCAGGGGGTTGGGCTAGAAGACCTCCAAGGTCCCTTCCAACTCTACGTTCTGTGTTTTTATGACGACTATGATCCTGATTTATCTTTTATAGCTTTTGTGTGCACTGAGAGCTTATGCACCGGAGACAAAATCCTCGTGTCCCCACTCACACTTGGCCCATAAAGAATTTCTATTCTATTCCATTTTTTATTCTATAGTCTATTCTATTCTATTGTTCTATTCCTGGTTCTGTTGTTTTCTATTCTATTCTATTCTTTTAATTTCTATTATTTTCTATTCTATTCCATTCTTTATTCTATTCCATATTTTCTATTCTACTCTATTCTAATTCTATATATTATTATTCATTCTATTCTATTTTTTGTTGTTTTCTATTCTATTTTTTTCTATTTCTATTCTATATTTTATTCTATTCTATATTCTATTCTGTTCTATATTTTATTTTATTCTATTCTGTTCTGTTCTATTCTATATTTTATTTTATTCTATTCTATATTTTATTTTATTCTATCCTATTCTCTATTCTATTCTCTTCTATTGTTCTATTCCTGGTTCTGTTTTCTATTCTATTCTATTTTTTATTTCTATTTTTTCTATTTCTATTATTTTCTATTCTATTCCATTCTTTATTCTATTCCATATTTTCTATTCTATTCTAATTCTATATTTTATTATTCATTCTATTTCTTGTTGTTTTCTATTTTATTTTTTTCTATTTCTATTCTATATTTTATTTTATTCTATTCTATATTTTATTCTATTCTGTTTTATTTTATATTTTATCTATTCTATTCTCTATTCTATTCTCTATTCTATTCTATATTTTATTCTATTCTATTGTTCTATTCCTGGTTGTTTTCTATTCTATTCTTTTTATTTCTATTACTTTCTATTCCATTCTATTCCATTCTTTATTCTATTCCATATTTTCTATTCTATTCTAATTCTATATTTTATTATTCATTCTATTTCTTGTTGTTTTCTATTTTATTTTTTTCTATTTCTATTCTATATTTTATTTTATTCTATTCTATATTTTATTCTATTCTGTTTTATTTTATATTTTATTCTATTCTCTATTCTATTTTATTGTTCTATTCTATTCTATTTTTATTTCTATTTTTTCTATTCTATTCTGTTGTTTTCTATTCTATTTTTTCTATTTCTAATTCTATTCTATTCTATATTTTCTATTCTATTCTATTCCTTGTTCTGTTGTTTTCTATGCTATTCTTTCTATTTCTATTCTATTTGTTCTATTTCTATCCTATCCCTATCCCTATCCCTATTTCATTCTATTCTATTCCTTGTTCTGTTCTATTTTCTATTCTATCCTATTCCTATTCTACTCTATTCTATTTTCCAGGAACATTCAAGGCTCCCCTTCTCTGACTACCTTTGAAAGTTTAAGCCAGTGGAGGTTCAGCCTTGCCTTCAACAGGCCAATTTGGGGAGTGGTCTTTCTCCACACGCCCTTTTTAATAAAATATTCTGATTTAAAGCCGTGGGGGGGGGGCGTGGGCGGGGGAAGCATTTGGTGAATTTAAAAACAAATGGGGGCG